ATAAAATGTGGAAACAATTTAGTATGCAAGGAAATTATAAATGGATAGATATTTTAGATAAATTATTTAAAGAATATAACTCCTCTTATCATAGTTCTATAAAAACAACACCCACTTCTGTTAATAAAAAATGAACAAAAGCTTTTAAGAAGTGTGTACAGCAACTTAAAAATGTTCAAAAAAGAAAATATAAATTAAATGAATTTGTTCGAATAAGCAAATATAAAAATATCAAAAGAAAGTGCGTTTCTGATGGATTAAAATGAGGTATACGAAACTATCTTAGCTTGAAAACTGACAAAGTTATTTGCGTGAAATTGTGCCAAGAAATGTACTCAGTGCCAAAATTGTAATGATATGCAAATTTTATCAATTTTATGAACTTAAGATTTTTGAATAAGGGATATATCAAAAGAAAGTGTGTTCCTTATAGATCAAATGAGGTATACGAAACTTTCGTAGCTTGAAAACCGATAAAGTTTTTTGCGTGAATAAGGAAAATACTTTGTGCCAAGAAATGTACTCTGTACCAAAATTGTAATGATATGCAAATTTGATCAATTTTATGCATTTAAGATTTTTGAATAAGTGATATATCAAAAGAAAGTGCGTGTCTTGTGGATTAAAATGAGGTTTACGAAACTGTCGTAGCTTGAAAACTGTTAAAGTTATTTGCGTGAATAGGGAAAATACAATATACTAAGAAATGTATTCTGTACCAAAATTGTAATGATATGCTAATTTAATCAATTTTATGAACTTAAAATTTTTAAATAAGTGATATATCAAAAGAAAGTGTGTTTATTATGGATTAAAATTAGATATACGAATCTTTCGTAGCTTGAAAGCTGACAAAGTTATTTGCGTGAATAAGACAAATACATTGTGCCAAGAAATGTACTCTGTACCAAAATTTTAATGATATGCTAATTTGATAAATTTTATGAACTTAAGATTTTTGAATAAGTGATATATCAAAAGAAAGTGGGTTTCTTATGGATTAAAACGAGGTATACCAAACTGTCGCAACTTGAAAACTGACAAAGTTATTTGCGTGAATAGGGAAAATACATTATACTAAGAAATGTACTCTGTGCCAAAATTGCAATGATATGCAAATTTTATCAATTTTATGAACTTAAGATTTTTGAATAAGGGATATATCAAAAGAAAGTGCATTTCCTTTGGATTAAAATGAGGTACGCGACACTGTAGTAGCTTGACAACTAACAAAGTCATAGGGAAAATACAATACACTAAGAAATGTAATCTGTACCAAAATTGTAATGATATGCAAATATGCTAAATTTTATGAACTTAAGCTTTTTAAATAAGTGATATATCAAAAGAAAGTGCGTTTCTTATGGATTAAAATGAGGTATACGAAACTCTCGTAGCTTGAAAACTGACAAAGTTATTTGCGTGAATAGGGAAAATACAATATACAAAGAAATGTACTCTGTACCAAATTGATAAATTTGGTAAATTTTATGAACTTAAGTTTTTTGAATAAGAGATATGTCAAAAGAAAGTGCGATTCTTACGGATTAAAATGAGGTATACGAAACTGTCGTAGCTTGAAAACTGACAAAGTTATTTGCGTGAATAGAAAAAATATATCGTGCTAAGAAATGTACTCTGTACCAAAATTGCAATGATATGCAAATTTTATAAATTTTATGAACTTACGATTTTTGAATAAGTGACATATCTAAAGAAAGTGCGTTTCTTATGGATTAAAATGAGGTATATGAAACTGTCGTAGCTTGAAAACTGACACAGTTATTTGCGTGAATAAGGAATAAGTGATATAGCAAATGAAAATGCGTTTCTTATGGATTTAAATAAGGTATACGAAACTGTCGTAGCTCGAAAACTGACAAAGTTATTTGCGTGAATAGGGAAAATACAATATACTAAGAAATGTAGACTGTGCCAAAATTTTAATGATATGCAAATTTTATAAATTTTATGAACCCAGGATTTTTGAATAAGTGATATATCAAAAGAAAGTGCATTTCTTATGGATTAAAATGAGGTATACGAAACTGTCGTAGCTTAAAAACTGACAAGGTTATTTGCGTGAATAGGTAAAATATATTGTGCTAAGAAATGTACTCTGTACCAAAATTGTAATGATATGTAAATTTTATATATTTTACCAACTTACGATTTTCGAATAAGTGATATAAGATACTGTCGTAGCTTGAAAACTGACAAAGTTATTTGCGTGAATATGTGAAATACAATACTAAGAAATGTACTCTGTGCCAAAATTGTAATGATATTGAAATTTTATAAATTTTATGAACTTAAGATTTTTGAGTAAGTGATATATAACAAGTAAGAGTGTTACATTCGGCCATGCCGAATCTTATATACCCACCATCAAATCATCCATATAAATAAACTTTGATATTATCGATCTATGTTGAATAATATGTCGATATTAATATGAACATCAGGAAAATATTTGGTAGATGGAATTTAATAAGGGCTTAAGCATGGACCGTGCTCTTGCGAATTAAAAATATTAATTTTGTTTGATCCAATATTTATAACCATAAACTGTTTTTTTTGTAAGAGTGGTTATATGGAGGGTAGAGTCAATTATGGACCTATCCTTGTCGGTTTATACAATAATTATTTGTATCTAATGTGTACCGACCAGATTGAAAATAAAATCTCGTTGAGATCTTTTTGTGAGGCTACCAGATCGAGCGGCTGGTAATGGCGTATGCCGGGCTATGACTCGCCGGATCGGGGTGGGATCTTGCTTCTCTGGAGCTCACTGTCTGGGTACTATAAAAATAAAAATATACCAGCCTACATATATTTTGGTTTAAGGGCCTAAGGGATCTAACTAAACATTCCTTTTTAATTTTTCTTATGGCAAATCGAATAGATTCATCTGTGTTTATCTTTTACACGGCGGGTGTTTTACCGTGATACTACCCTCCCACAAAGAACAATTTGGTTCTTCGTCCATAGTAACTTAGCAGATATAGTTACCCCTAATACTTCCTCTCCCATCTCCTCCATCAACTCTCCATCCAATCACTTACCTTTTTGGATATTTAGCACCACATTCTAATGTAATGAGACATTTCGTAAATTTGTTTTCCAAAACGTTATAAAAATTGTCGGTTTATTTATGTAAATTAACAATGAAAATAATAAGCTGAAATAAATCAACAGAAAATTTACAAATAAAAAAACAAATTTTAATTTAATTTAGGAATAAACCGTCGTGACTTTAATGTTGCAGCTTTACTTCCTCCACAGGTTCGGCAGCCAGGTTGTTTCGCCTTCTGACGACCGTACAAATGTAAGTAAATGGAGCATATATGTCATTTAAGTATATATTTTTTTACAATTCTTTTCTTTTTCTTCTTTTAAGGATCTATACGGGGCTGCTACGACATTTATTTATATGAATGTTCGGATGTCAAACTTTGACCTATACCGGGTAAGGAACCTAACTTGAGCTCAAATTACTTTCCTACAACGCGCACCTTATTCATTGCAATAAGGGAATTAGATTCTCCTACAGCCATACAGGTAAATGTCCTAACTTTCCTACGATGTAATTTTGATTAAAACTTCTTATATTTTCTTTCTTTTTGTTTTCTTTATCTTTCAAAACTAGCTACATATATGTTCCCTTAAAACTTGGTCAGTCTTGTCCGAGTCCGGCGAATACCTGGAATCTCTTCGGGCGGTAATGGAAGACGATTGCGGATGTTGTTTCCCTCGTTGGATGTGGCAGAGGTGGCTTGGATTATACGTTTTTTTATTATCTTTTATTTAAATAATTTGATTCAGATTTAAAATCTTCATTCGTTAGCGTTCTTATTAGCTTTTAGTTTGTACTTTTTAAACTGTCTCTTTTAATTTTTTGTTTGTTTTTTTTTTTCTTTTTTTTTTTTTTCTTTTTTTTTATTCTTTTAAACTTCACATACTTATTTCCGTTTTAAGTTTTGCTTTTTATTAATTTTAGCTTTCAGTTTCAAAGCTAAACTTTTAATTCTTTGTTTATCTTAGTTTTAAGTTTTAACTTTTTTTTGTTGTAAGTTTTAACATTTATTCGTTTCAGTTTTTAGATTTTTAACTTTTAATTACTTATTCGTTTTAATTTTAAGTTTTAACTTTTTAACTATCTATTCACTTTAGTTTTATGTTTTAGCTATTTATTCGTTTTAGTTTTAAGTTTTAGCTATTTATTCGATTTAGTTTTAGGTTTTAGCTATTTATTCGTTTTAGTTTTAAGTTTTAACTATTTATTCGTTTTAGTTTTAAGTTTTAACATTTATTCTTGCTTTTTTTAGTTTAAATTTGTTAACGAATATATTATTTTTTTTTTCTTGCTTAAATTTTAATTATTTTAAACTTAACTTTTGATGCTTACAAATTTCTTTCTTATTTTAGTGATTTTATTTGCCGCTGCTTCAATAGCCACAATACCACATCTTCTCATCAGCTCTTCAAAACGGAAAAAGGACAGAATCTTTTCTCTTGGCTCACCAAGATACCTTCGTGACGCCACAATATGTCTCCTCATCTTATATTATATATTATATATTATATATTTATATATTTTATTTTTTCGCCATTTAATTTATTTTGTTTTTTCTTTACTAATAAAGTATTTATCAACGTTACTATCTTTTCGTTTATTCTTAAACGTCAAAAAAAATCTTTGCGTTGCCAACTATCTAAGTTTGTTTATTTTCAAGAACAGGGTGCACACGACAAACCCTACCACTCCTGTGTTCCTCTGTGAACACAGGATGGGGGGGAAGAAAGCTATAAATCCTTCAAATTTTCTCTAAAATACTTGTGGGCATTTTGTGGAGATTTTTCCCTACGAATAAAAAAACAACATCTGGCAACTCACTTTCATTTTAGTTTATAAATACAACACTGTATGTATGTAATAAATTTTAACCCTCTGGTAACCCCAACTGATAATGAATGAACAGCTGTATAAAAATGTATGTGACTGAACGTACACCATGAGTAGCGTGGTTGTAAAATTACAAGTTTCTATGAATTGATCAATGGTGGCCGCAAAAAAAAAGGTAAGTAATAAAAAGAATAAAAATTGTTAAAATATATTAAAGAAAATATAATTTAACACCAAACAATATTTCCTCTTATTTTCTTTTCCAGAAATCTATGCCGGATGGGGACTATTTCTATGGATTAAAGGTAAGCAAACAAAAGTGCATTTTATTAATGAAAATGAATGCGTAGTAAAACAATTTTTTTTTTACAGGGTGGTGTTATAATGACGACAACAACGACAAGCGGCTGATACCACGTTAATAAGGTAAGTATCGTGAATTTAATAGAATTTAAAATGTAAATTAAGTGAAAATAGTAATGTGCAAATAAAATTAGTGGAATAGAATGTGAAAGTGCGCGAAGTGAAAGTGAAAATTGTTATCGGATAAAAAATATTAAACGGGTGTATAAAAAGCGTGCGAATCAAATGTTAAAAGTGTTCATACATTTCCAAGATCTCGATTACCAGGACGGTACGTGGCGTAACGTAACGTAACGCGATATTTGCCGTTTACGTATTCAATTTTTCCTTGCTAACGAAATTAATCGCATCAAAAGTGTTCAAGGCGGGCGAGTACGTAACGTGACGTAACGTAACGTTGCAAAATGCTTAAAATCGGAAGTTGTGATGGCAAATAAAATTAAAGTTTCGTAAATGTTTACTAATAGACTTCCGTCGTCCTTTTGAGGTAAATAAAAAGTGATTTTGGAAAATACAGCGTGTAACGAAAATATATAAAAAGAAAAGATTTTTTTTCGTATTGACAGTGCGTGACAAAGTAAGCAAAAGAAATACAAAATATTTGAAAAAAATTTTTTTTTTTTTTTTCAGTCGAAAAAGTGAATAAAAGTTCTATAGTGACAATTTAAAAAACTATTGCAAAAATTATAGTGAAAATTTTGGTGAAAGTAAAATGAGAATTCTAAAGTGACTATCGAAAAAAACCAAAAAAAAATATTGAAACTATCTACTGTTGTGAAAAGTGTCTAAATCAAAAAGTATGGTGTTCGCTAAAAGTGTACTGTAAGATTATTTAAGGAAAATGGAAACTTAATACAAAATTAAAAAGAAAACTAAAACTAATAAAAATAATAAAATGAAATAAGGAAACTAAAATAAATAAAAGTAATAATAAAGAGAATTTTAAAAATTTTTCCTAAAGAATTATTGAATTCAGTTTTTTTTTTTTTTTCATTTTATATTTTTTTTATATTTTTTATTATACCCTACACCACTTTAGTGGGGAGGGTATATTGGATTTGTGCTGATGTTTGTAACATACAAAAATATTCGTCCTAGACCCACCTTAAAGTATACCAATCGGCTTAGAATCGTTTTCTGAGTCGATTAAGCTATGTCCGTCCGTCCGTCCGTCCGTCTGGCAGGCTGGCTGGCTGGCTGGCTGTCCATGTAAACCTTGTGCGCAAGGTACAGGTCGCAATTTTCAAGATAATTGGATGAAATTTGGCACGCACGTTTTATTTGACCCAAGGACGAAGCCTATTGAAAATGGTTGAAATCGGTCCATTATTTCACCTAGCCCCCATAGAACAGAACCCCCCGAAAAGGGCTTTTGAGCTCATAATTTTGTTAAATTTACAGATATATCGATAAAATGCGGCACAACTAAGTTTTATAGAAGTCTGGATGACCCTGCCAAATTTCATAAAGATCGGGCCCCATTTGACCCTAGCTCCCATACAAAGTCGCCTTCAGAAAATTACTTGAATGTCCCAAATTAACTTATAAACACAAATATCGCGATGAAATTTAGCACAATAAAATATTATGTAAATATAAATATATTCACAAAATTTTATCGGGCTTGGTCCATATTTGCCCCTAGCCCCCATATAAAGCCTCTTTCAGAAAATTAGATTTTCATCCATAAATTGCTTAAATGTATCGGAACAAGGGAATATTGAAGATAAATGCTTTATTATGAAAAATAAATCACATTTAATATTCATAACTGGTGTAGGGTATCATATGGTCGGCCACGCCCGACTATACTTTCTTACTTGTATTTTTTTTTGTATTTCTTTTTTCTTTTGTTTTAATATTTTTTCCTTCTTTGAAAATTCATTAAAAATAAAATGAATTCATAAAATCTTAAAAATTACAAAATTTGCTTTATTTAACTATTTGTATTTTTATATTATATTAGTATTTCCAGTTTTCTTAACTTTTTGTTTTGTTTTCTTTTATTTCCTTTCAGATTGCGAAACCAAATCTTCGAGTGAATTGGATACTGACGAGGACTAAGCTCACAAAAACTAGATGTTTTTGCGATAAATACCCCTCGCTTCTCCCGAAAACTAACAAATAATATAATGTAAGTATAAGAGACAATTAACAATCACTATAATGTAACAAATCTATATCGGTCTGATTTGTTTATAAATCAGGCTCGTTTAGAAAGTGGTGGGCGAATTACAAGGACCAAAATCACCAGAGGTATCATATATCACTGGCGAGTAGTGCCCCTTGTAGTTCTCCGAAAAATTTAATATTAATTGAAAACTTTTTTATAAACTCTGTTATGTTTGTAGAATATACTAAATTTACGTTTTTCACAGGTTGTGGCAATATAAATGACTGGAAAACCAAAATTATCAAATTCATCTACAACAGGTATCTTAACCACTGGTTAATAATGCTAAAAATTTATCAAATCAAAACCAAAATTAGCATATATACTAATTCAAATTTCATTTCTTTCAGGTCTCAACAAGCGAGTAATCATGACACCTATAATCAATAAGATCTACATCAACATTTTTAAAAGAGAAGAAGAAAAACCCAAAGTTCAAAGCTATTCATCATCTTAAAAGTTTCACGGTGAGTGATTAAATGATTAAGATATTTATCTACTTAGATATTTAGTATAGTTTACAACAAGTAATCTCTCTCTAAACCAGATATTATATTAGAGTTCTTATTAAAATTACTAGAGGGTATCACAATCCTAATGTATATAAACTATAAACGGCACATTAGTCTAACATTCTCTCGTTAATTTTAATAGAACCAAAGGCGGAATGATGTTGACACAGTTTTCCCTAATAATATTTTCAGAACTTATACTTAGTACTATTTTATCTTCATAATATTACCTGTGGTAATTAAGCCGTTAAAGTATGTCTCTTATTTGGGAACAAATATTAGACTCACTACTTATTTTCTTTTCCTTTTCTGGCTCGCCGTAAGATGCGGACTCAGAATTGTGTTATTACTCTAGGTGACTAATAACCCTTACGCTTTTAATGGCACGGTACCGGAAAGTTTTGATGGGGTTGCACCTACTAATAGGGTAATGACCGGTTACAAATGTAACCAGCTTAGAAACGTTGGCTTAAGTCAGGGAAAATAAATAAATAGTACATAACAGGCTTTAATTCCACCAGCCAATATTATGAAGTATAAAAGGTACGGATAAAATAGTATTCACATTACGTCAAATCTGTGTCAAACATCACTCCCTAATAGCAATAGAAAAAGAGAAATTATTGATATTTGAATTAACACCAAATATTTAATTAGATTACTAACCTTTTCTTAAGCAAACATCTTTCGAAAAGTATAAAAACGACTAGATATTTAAGGGAACCATTAGGACTAGATACACCAAAGATGTAAGCTATTGCTTTAGATCTTTGGCGTGAAATACCCCTAACGATTTACCTTGCAAGTCCTCGACTTCATACAGGCTATTTCCTATAGGTTTCACTACGCGGCATTTCAAAAACTTCCGGGCCAACTTCGCGTTAAAATTATTTTTGAAATCGCTTTGTTGGAAATTGCGGCGGTAGACTTCTTGACCGGGTATAAACTTGACATACCGACACCGCGTATTATAGCTTTTTTCGTTTTTGAGGTAAGCTTTATGCAGGTTTTCCCGTATCTTTTGCCGTAGTAGTTCCATTTGCGCTGGTTTAGGAATAGTCTCAGATTCTAGGTCGTTTAAAGTACCGAGTTTACGCGCCAACTGATATACACTTCCATGCCCAATCATATTCATGCCAAATAGGGCAAAATATGGCGTTACGCCAATCGAGGTTTGAACCGAAGATCTTAAAGAATATTCAATCTCGGACAAATGCTTGTCCCATTCGGTGTGATCACCCTGCAAATAGGATCTAACGGCCGACAAAATCGATTGATTTACGCGTTCCGACGCGTTCGCCTGCGGTGAGTGCGTGGCCGTTCGAAGATGCTTTACGCCGAAATTGTTTACCATGTCAGCAAATTCTTTGCTAACAAACTGCTTCCCATTATCGGAAACGATGGTTTCGGGAGTCCCAAACTTATGGAAGATCTCCGAGATTAGAAATCGTATTACATTTTTAGTGCTGGCTTTCGGCAACGCCTTCAAAAAAACATATTTAGTCAAATGGTCTAAAACGATAAATATATATACATTTCCGTTCTTTGAACGCGGATAAGGACCGAGAAAATCTATAAATATACGTTGAAAAGGTCTTGCACATTGTGTCTCAGCACCCATTGGTGGCCTAAGCGTTATATTCGCGGGTTTCGATTCCTTACAGACTCGGCAATTTCTTACAAATTCTCTTACTTGGGCATTTAAATTAGACCAATAGAAATACTCGCCGATACGCTTGAGTGTTTTACCGATACCTCCGTGAGCCGCTTGCGGTGCATTGTGGCATCGATCTATAATATCGGCTGTAAGCTCCTGAGGTACCCAGAGCTTCCAGGAAAAATCTTCTGTGGGTATATTCCCGTCATACGGCCTCGTTCTTTTATAAACAAAACCTTCTATTACCTTTAAATCTGGCAACTGTTCGGAATTCTCTTTTATCTTCGATATTAATTGTCTGTAGTCTTCCGATTTAAACGCTCCCGATTCGAAATCTATAAAATTATTCAGATCCGCGGAAATCTCTTCCATATCGTAGCGCGATAGGGTATCGGGTACTACATTCTGCTTCCCCTGTCTATGCTCTACTGCGAAATTATACGCCTGCAAATGGAGACTCCACCTTGCTAATCGACCCGTCAAGTCCTTATGTGACATAAGCCACTTAAGGCTACTGTGGTCCGTGATCACCGTAAAAGGCATCAATTCTATATAGGCCCTAAACTTCTTAATCACCAAGACAACTGCCAAACATTCACGTTCAGTGACTGAATAATTTTTCTGTGCTGGGGTCAGCTTGTGCGAGAAATAGGCTATTGGGTGCTCTCCATCAGAATCATCTTTCTGAAAAAGAACCGCTCCAATGCCTAAGTCTGATGCGTCACACTGAACGTAGAAACGCTTGGAGAAGTCTGGGTGGTTAAGAAGTGGGCGTAGTCAGAGCTTTCTTGAGGCGATCAAAAGCAACCTTAGCTTCTTCGGAAAACTTTAATTGTTTACCCTTCTTCAGCGTTTCAAAGATTGGGGCAGCGATGGTAGCATAGTCTGGTATAAATTTCCTATACCAACCTGTTGCTCCCATGAAGCTCCTCACCTGTCTTGCTGTCTTAGGGTATACAAAACGAGTAATCGTTTCCACTTTGGCCGGGTCCGGTTTTAATTTGCCGCCACCAACAATATACCCAAGATATTTCAATTCCTTAAAACAAAATTTGGATTTAGCAACATTGATGGTCAAACCTGCATCTGCTAGACAATAAGCTACCCGCTTCAACAATTCCAGGTGTGTCTCGAATTCTGGAGATACTATCAATAGGTCATCTAAGTACACGAAAACTCTTTCACGAAGTGCCGCGGGGATCACCTTATCCATTAACCGACATAACCTTTGGGCTGCATTACACAACCCAAAAGGCATGACAGTAAATTGATAAAGTGGTCGTCCAGGTACCGTAAAAGCAGTTTTTTCCCTACTAGATGATTCTAATGGTATCTGCCAGAACGCGTCTTTTAAGTCGACACTCGAAATATAGATTGTATCTCCCAATCGACTGAGCAAACCTTCAATGTGCGGCAATGGATATGCATCCTTGACTGTCAGCGCATTGAGTTTACGCGCGTCCAGGCATAACCGATTCTTCTCGCCCCTTCGTACGAGAGTAACCGGATGACTCCATCGACTTTCGCTAAGCTCAATAACACCTAAGTCCAGCATCCTATCCAACTCCGCATACATTAATTTTTGCACCGCCGGGGATACAGGGTAATATCGATCTTTCACTGGAATTGCATCACGGGTGTCTATTGCATGCGTTTCCAAATGTGTTTTTCCAAGGCCCTTCTTTGTATAGCAGGGGAACATCGCAATTACCAAATCCAAGCTTTGTCGCTGTTCATCATCCAACTTGTGAGTTTTAATATCTTGGGTCTCTTCTTCATCTTCGCAAAGATTAATTCCATTCGTCGTGAGACTTTCTATATTGGCGAACAAATTAAAAGCCTTCATAAAGTCGACTCCCAAGAATAACTTACGACTCAGAGTAGGGAATAAATAGAAATTAATGTCATGTGACATACCACGAAACACAATTCTGACATTGACTCGACCGACTATTGGGTGTTCGGTTCCATCCGCCGTTTTTATACTGGTATGGAAATCGTGAATTGTTAGACCAGCCTTCCTTATGAAGTCCATACAATTACGGCCTAGGCACGTAACTGTTGCACCGCTGTCTAACAATCCCTCGATTTCCTGACCATTAATGACGATCCTGGTATAAAAACGTGAATCCCCACCTTCGAACAATGACGTGGCCGAAATTTCCTGCCTAAGTTTTCTTCGTCGTTTGTACCTCTCCCGAGCCTTCTTAATTCTATTAGATACGCAACCGAAAATTCTGATTCTTGCCTGATTATATTCTTTAAGCCGTATGTGGAAGGGTTTTATTTCCCTAAGCCGAGGTACAGGACTTGCTTCTCTCTTCGCTTCGACATTTTTCATAATTTTGATTTGGTTTTCTTCTAAGGTTGTTGACGTATATCCTTGACTAACTGGGCCTACACTTCTGTCGACCTCGTCTCCCCAGTTCGAGACGGGTTCCGGTTCCGGTTTCCCTGACACCTAGGACATTTTGGTGTCACCACATTTTCCATGCCGCATTTGAAACAAAAGATCCTACGCGTGGACGAAGGACAATCAAAAAACCCGTGACCAACCATCTTGCAGTTCCAGCAGGTGTATTTGCTCGTGTTCTGCATCGCGTCCACTTTCAGAATAGGCACCACATCTTCTTCTTCTGGTGTGACCTCAATCTCGTTTACCCTTGCGAAGTTTGGACGTTGTTGATAATTTTGCCTCTGGTTAGCCAACAAGTTCTCTGCCCTCTTGACCTCGTAACAAAACTCGGTTAGACTAGTTATTCTGATGGGAAACATCAACTGGGCCAAAGCTGGTTTAAGGTTACCCCTCATAATATCTATTAACGATCTCTCATCGTACGGGAACTTTTGCTGATGACGTAGCTTCAGTATGACATTATAAAACTCCTCAAATGACTCATGAGGTAACTGCCGGCGATTGAGTATTTGCATTTGTACTTGAAACTCGTTCTCAAAACGCTGATATTGGGACAAGATAGCACTTTCCAGATCCCGCCACGAGTTAATTTGCGCCAATTTGCGATGGTTCCAATACCAGTCTAAAGCTGGTCCTTCCAGTAAGTTATGGAAATGACGTAAGATATCCATGTCCGAGCAGTTATAATCTTTTCTCAGCTCATTTATTCGGAAAATAAACTCTTGTGCATTCATGGACTTACTGGTTCCATCAAATTTTATACCCCACTTAGACAAATTCACTCGCGGATGATTCTCTATAGCGTTTGACAATGGCCAAGCATAATTAGGAGCTGGTCCCAAATTATGTTGCTGCTGTAGTGGTAGTTGATGATAGCTATACC